AAAAATACCAAACTGGTGACCCCGAACAATGCCACTCAACGACAGCAACCTCATCACAGGAGGCCAAGGATTGGACGACATGTCTTTGGATAGGAACTCACGCCTAGCCCTACCTGCAATGACCACCGAAAATGTGGAAGCATACTTCTACTCATTAGATTTCTGGTTTCAAGCATGCGGAGTTACTGCGGACTTAAACAAGTTTAACATTGTTCTCGCAAATGTACCACCGCTTAAGCTGCTAGAGTTACAGCCACTGATCGAAGCTACTCCAGCTACCGCAAAGTACCAATACATTCGCGAGAAATTTATAGAACACTTCAACGGCAGCGTCCAAAGTCGCCTTCAGCGAGTACTCAAAGCGCAAGAGTTGGGCGACCGCAGACCCAGCGAACTTTTTTATGATTTAAAGCGCACGGCGGGTGCTGCACTTAGTGATGCAATTTTAGAAGGCCTCTGGATTAGCAGACTTCCATCGTTTATGCAAGCGGCGATAATCGCTACTAGCGCATCGACCACCCAGAAACTAAAAATCGCCGATTCAATCTCCGAGGCAAATGAAACACAAAAACAGCATGGTTTTGAGGTTAGTGCGCTGCAGAACATGCCTAATGAAATTTCTAACCTGAAAACCGACATTGCCGCCTTGAACAAACGTTTCGATGCGTTTTTAGAGCCAACAAATAGCGACCATCGTAAGAATGTTCGCCGCAACTCACGCTCCGCGTCTGGAGTAGCTAGCTCTAATAGTTTTTGCTGGTATCATACCAAATTCGGCGCAAGGGCGACCAGGTGCAGGGAACCATGTACATTCACGCAGTCGCACGCGGTGACCGTCACTGAATAGGATCGCTCTGCTAATTCTATTTCGGAGGCCGGCAAACCTTCCGAAATTTCTAAAAGCCATCGACTATGCGTATTTGACACATTTGCTAAATTAACATTTTTAATCGACTCGGGGGCCGATGTGTCAGTCATACCCAAGTCAACAAAATTAGCACGAGCAAAACCTACCTCTATGAAACTGTTTGCCGCAAATGGTTCTCCCGTATCAGTTTATGGTCAAGTCGTGATAAAACTAAACTTGAACCTTCAACGCGAATTCTTATGGACCTTCATCGTAGCGGACGTGTCTCAACCCATACTTGGAGCGGACTTTCTTAGCAAGTATGGCCTTTTAGTGGATTTGCAAGGCCAGCGCCTTATCGACCGTTCAACGCTGCTCAATACTTCATGCGGAATAAAACGAATGAATACATTGAACGTTTCCACGATTAACGCTACTAACGAATTTTCAAGCATCCTCATGGAGTTTGCCGAAATTACACGTCCTGCGCATCCAGGTATCACGACAAAAACATCAGTCATTCACCGATTAACCACCACTGGCCAGCCTACCTTCTCGCGACCCCGACGGTTGTCACCAGAGAAACTTGTAGCCGCACGAGCGGAGTTTGACCTTCTCATTAAGCTGGGCATATGTCGCCCTTCCAGCAGTAACTGGGCTAGCCCGTTGCATATGGTTCGGAAGGCTGATGGTTCCTGGAGACCTTGCGGGGATTATAGGGCACTTAATTCTATTACGGTGCCGGACCGCTATCCCCTACCGTTCCTTCAAGACTTCTCCATGGTATTGGCAGGTAAATGTATTTTTTCTAAGATAGATTTGCAAAAGGCCTTCCACCAGGTACCGATACACCCTGACGATATATGCAAGGCCGCCATTACTACACCTTTTGGGTTGTACGAGTTCACCCATATGACGTTTGGGCTAAGAAATGCCGCCCAGACATTTCAGCGTCTTATCAATGAGGTCTTCCGCGGTATTGATTTCGCATTCGTGTACTTGGATGACGTTTGCATCGCATCTCGCTCCGTCGACGAACACAAGCTTCACCTCCGGCTGGTTTTCGATCGGCTGAGGAAGTACAACCTTACGATTAATGTGGCGAAGTCGCAATTTGGCGTCACTCAACTCGAATTCTTAGGCCATTCCATCACGAAGGATGGAATACGACCGTTGCCTACTCGCGTAGAAGCCCTTACAAACTTTCCGTTGCCACTTATCGCTAAGCAGTTAAAGCGCTTCCTGGCTATGATGAATTTTTACCGCAGATTTCTACCGAAAGCGTTGAAACATCAGGGGCCTCTTTTTGCAATGATTCCTGGCAACAGGAAAAACGATAACAGAAAGCTGACGTGGTCGGAGGAGAACAAAGGTCATTTCGAAGCGTGCAAAAAACAACTCGCTTCGTGCGCCATGCTCGCTCACCCAGCAGCTGACGCCGAACTATCTTTGTGGGTCGACGCATCAGACTACGCGGCCGGCGCGGCACTTAATCAAATTGTGGACGGTGGCCTTCAGCCACTAGGTTTCTTCTCACGCAAAGTTTCGAAGGCCGAAGTGCTATGAAACACTTTCGTTACATGCTTGAAGGTCGGATCTGTCACGTGTACACCGACCATAAACCGCTCATCTTTGCCTTTCATCAGCGCTCTGAGAAAGCTTCTGACAGGCAGATCAGGCAACTTGATTTTGTGGCACAAATTACGACCGACATAAGGCATGTCGAAGGCGAAAATAACGTCACAGCAGACCTATTATCGCGGGTTCAGTCCCTTACCGCTGCTACAATTAGCTACGAGGAGCTTGCCGCAGACCAGGCAAACGATGCGGAGCTGCGGTGGTACCTCAACAAAGATAACGCTCACTCTTTAAATTTACAAAGTTTTGCATTTCCTTGTAGCGAAAACAAACTCTTCTGCGACGTATCAACAGGCCGTTTGCGTCCCTTCATAACGAAGAAGTTTCGATCAACCTTCCTCCAAGCAACGCATAATTTGGCACATCCAGGTATTCGCGGGACGCAGAAGATTATGGCTGAGCGATTCCTTTGGCCCGGTATTCAACACGATAGCAAGCAGTTCGCCAGAGGTTGTATACAGTGTCAGCGTAGCAAAATTATTCGACATAACAGGAGTTTACTCCAACGTCGTGATCCCCCAACACAACGATTTGGACATTTACATATTGATATTGTGGGTCCGTTTCCGCTTTCGGAAGGGAGTCGATATTGCCTCACAATAATCGACCGCTTCACCCGTTGGCCAGAAGCCATACCCATAGAAGATATGACGGCAGTAACCGTAGCGAAAGCTTTGGTCAGCGGTTGGATTGCTCGCTTCGGCGTGCCTGTGGATATCACATCCGATTTGGGACGCCAATTTGAGAGCGCTATATTTAAGCATTTGCTAAACTATCTAGGCATTTCACACTTACGAACGACGCCGTACCATCCGCAGGCAAATGGAGTCATAGAGAGATGGCATCGAACCCTGAAGTCAGCTATTCTGTGCCACCAAATCGACCGTTGGACAACATACCTACCGCTCATATTATTGGGCCTTCGCTCATCATTCAAAAACGACATAGGATGTACGCCAGCAGAGCTCGTCTTTGGTGAGTCCCTCCGTCTACCTTCCGATTTTTTTATAGCTTGTGAAGAACAGAGGGGTGAAACTGAGGTGGTTCAACAATTGCGGCTGGTTATGCAAAGAATTAGGCCGGTCGACACCGCCTGGCACACACCCCCAAAACCATTTGTACATAGCAGTCTTCAAACATGCGAACAAGTTTTTGTTCGCGGCGACTCAGTGCGTCCGTCTCTTTCGCCGCCCTACAGAGGGCCCTACAGAGTACTAAGCCGGAACCAAAAGTATTTTTCCATAGAGGTCAACAAAAAGAAAGTCAATATCTCCGTCGATCGCCTGAAGCCAGCGTTCCAAGTACCAGACGGAGCTCTCTAGGAGGGGAGTACTGTGGCAACACCACTCCTGCTAAAGTTTTAAACTTGCCAATGCAACCGTGTTGGAGACTTAGAGCGATAATTTTGACATTTCCAGCATTAGCAGATTATTGTACTTTTTCATTCTTTTTGGTAATAAATGTGAAACTGTGCACACGTGCACCGAGGATTATTAAAAATACCAAATATATATATTTTTTTTTTATATGGGAGTTGAAGTCGGTTTTTTTTTTGCTAAAAATTACTAGTTTTGTACCAGGTAATCTCGCGAACGGCTGGTCCGATTTTCATGAAATTTTGTATACAAATAGCTTTCGGTAACCGCCATGTTTTAGGCTAAAAAAATTTTACTTTTTTTCGGGTAGGTGGACTAGGGACCGGTCTATTCGAAAAAATCTTATTATTGTCCGATTTGCTTAAAATTTAGTACGTAAGTAGCTTTTTAGCATATATTAGCATATAATACCCATTTTTTGCGGGAAGTGGTCCAGGGACCGATCTATTCAAAAAAATCGCATTTATGGTCCGATTTGCTTAAAATTCGGTACGTAAGTAGTTTTTTAGCATGTATTAGCATATGTGATCAATTTTTTCCGAGAAGTGGACCAGGGACTGATCTATTCGAAAAAATCGTATTTTCGGTCCGATTTGCTTAAAATTCGGTACGTAGGTAGCCTTTTAGCATATATTAGCATATATGATCCATTTTGTCCGAGAAGTAGACCAGGGACCGATCTGTTCGAAGAAATCGTATTTATGGTCCGATTTGCTTAAAATTCGGTACGTAGGTAGCTTTTTGCCTGGATAAGCTTATAGATTCCTGTTTTCCAATTTTCACGCAATTTCGATTATAAATAGCTTTAAGTAACGACCATATCAAGGGGCGAATTCGTCTCTAGGCAAGATTTTTTTACGCCAATCAGAAACAACGGATACTGTCAAAATATAATTATAATATATAATATATCTCAACTAATATATATTTAGATAGCCGTTTGTTGCCGCACGTGTCCCAAGGATGGTTTTAGGCTGAAAAATATCTATATGAAAAGGGGGCGTGGCACTTCCCATAAAAAAAGAAATTTCTCATGCTACATATCTCTGAAAGTGTGCATGGTAGAGTTTTTGAAATTGGTATGGAGATATACGACATCAATCGCATACCCTTGGAGAAAAATTTTAGCTATTGTCAAAAGGGGTGTGACATCTCCCATACAAACCGAATTTTTCATACTGCTTATCTCTGGACATTTTTTGGTAGAGTTCTAGAGTTTTGTATGGAGATGTACGAAATAAATCGCATACTCTTGGAGAAAAATTGGAACTATTGGAAAAGGGGGCGTGGCATCTTCCATACAAACCGAACTTTTCATACTGCCTATCTTTGGAAGTGTTCATGGTAGAGTTCTGGAATTGGTATGGAGATATACGAAATCAATCGCATACTCATGAAGAAAGAGTGCAGCTCTTGGAAAGGGGGGCGTGGCACCTCCCATATAAATCGAATTTTTATACTGCATATCTCTGAAAGTATTCATGGTACAGTACTGGAACTTCGTATGGAGATATGTATATAGTTGAAATCAAGCCCATACTCATGGAGAAAATTTGGGCTATTTGAAAAGGGGTGTGAGGCCTACAAACGTACCGACCTTTAGCTATCTTTGAATGAATTTTTTTATTCTTCTGTAGGTGTGTTTGTGAGTGATCTCCTCCTAAATGGTTGTACGGATTTTAACGAAACTTTTTGTGTATTTGAGTGGGGCTCTGGATGGTTTAGTTTCACAATTTAATCCGACAGTTTGCGCTGTAGTTGAGCTATTACTAAAAATCTTATTTATGATCCGATTTGGCTAATGTTTTAAATATGTATGCAATACTATTGCAAAAACGTGCTGCCAAGTGGTGCTGAAGTCGAGCTATTACTAAAAATAGCCAAGTGAGAAAAGGGCCGTGAAGGTCAGAGTAAATCGACCTGTTGCACCATTGAGTATATCGAACGCTCCTGCGTTGCAATTGGCCCAATGGATGTGATTTTCCA